GAGGTAGCAAAAAATCATAAATCTTTATGGTGTTATTGTTAAAATCTTTAAAAATGGAAAGATTGCAAACTAAATATGCAAAATCTATTTTTTAATGGAAAAATTTAATGGAAAAATCTCTGACTAAAGCTTTAAAAAATATGGTACCTGTTAGCCATAGCTGGTTATTTAAACCAGATAGTAATTTCTATTAACGAGCCCTGGTAGTGTAGTGGATAACTAACTGGGCTGCTAACCGCAGTCAGTAGTTCAAATCTGCCAGTCCCTCCACACGAGAGTGATGAGACTTTCAGCTTCCATAAAGAGTTGCAGCATCAGAAACCCTATACAGGATGGCTATGAGTCAGAACTGACTCGGTGGTTCACAATAACCAATAGTAATTTAGAAATCAAGAGATTAAACAGATTCTCTCTCTCTCTGTTTAAAAGTTTCTTTTAAATTGTACTGACTTAAATTTATAGATCCTAAACTTTGTAATATAATTTGTCAGAAAAATTGAAGAGTAAGAAAGTATGGTAGTGTTCTGTTGAGTTGACTTTGACTCATAGTGACCCTATATTAGGATTTTCAAGAGTGTAAATCTTTACAGGAGCAGACAGCCCCATATTTCTCCCACAGAACTGCTGGTGGATCTGATCTGCTGACCTTGTACTTAGGAGCCCAATGTATAACCCACTATGTTACCAGACCTCCTTACTTTATACAAATTGTAGGAAGGCAAATGTGCTTTTTGTCTTTCTTTCATCACTTGTTTTTCTCCAGTTTTTAAAATTGTTATAAAATGTCTACTATGCAACATCGCCAAGTAAGAATTTTTCATTTATATAATTTAGTGAAACCATGTATCAATCATGCTGTGCAACTATCGCCAATATCTATTGCTTTATTTCCATCTTCATTAACAGAAACTCAGTATTAGCTAAACACACAAAGTACCCCCTTTTCCCCCTTCCTGCCTGCCTCAGTAATCATTGCTAACCCTGTTCTATATACATTTGTCTATTCTAAGTGTTTCACACTAGTGAAATCATAAAATATTTGTCTTTTTGTGATTGATTTATTTCACTAAGAATAATGTTTTCTAGGTTCATTTGTATTTTGGAGGGTATCACGGCTTCATTTCTTTTATGGCAGAGGCATCTTCCATTGTTTGTTGTGCTGTGGGTTAGGTGTTGTGCTGCTAACTGTGAGGTTAGCGGTTCAAAGACACTAGGCTCTCTCTAGGAGAAAGATGAGGCTATCTGCTCTCGTAAAGATTTACAGTCTGGGTAACCTTGCTTAGGGTCTAAATGAGTTGGATTTAACTCAATGGCAGTGGATTTGTCATGACTTTTTGGTATGTTCCACATTTTATCTATTCAAGTGTTGATAGGCATTTGGGTTGCTTCCACCTTTGGCTATTGTGAATAGTGTTGCAATGAATAATCATGTTCTCTGTTTGCAGTGCTGGGTAAAACATTTCCCTTATGTTCTCCTTTAAACTCTCGTAGATAAAGTATTTTGGAATTGTTCTACAATATCTTAAATAATCAAACCTGGCTGTATATAATGCCAAGACAAGCAGCTGAGATAATGAGTCTGACACTAGGAATACCATGGCTAAAGAATTGAGGCTAATGAACAAAGATAACCCATGAATTTTAACAACTTTAAAATGTTTCTACCTAAGGCAATTGGCCCTATGACCCCATATGAACTGCGGCATATAGTTATAACTCTGATATTCTGTATCTCCATTACAGATCACTCTGTTTTTGAATCATATTGTAAAATTCATAAAAAGTGGCTGCCTTTCAGATGAATAACTCAAAGTGGTCTGCTTTCTTGTCAGGTGAACCTGGCTTATGTTGAAGCAGCTGACTGCATCACAGAACCAGTTAACAGGGAGCCACCTTCTAGAGAAGCTCAGTTACTGACTTTGCAAAACACATCTGAATTTGATATCCTCGTCATTGGAGGAGGAGCAACAGGAAGTGGCTGTGCACTAGATGCTGTCACCAGAGGTGAGTCCTGATGTGGATAGTCGTTTCCTTTTCTCTCTTTAAGGAGCCTGGTGGTGCAAAGTCCTGGGCTGCTAACCAACATTTACCCAGTGACTCCTGGGGAAAGGGACCTGGTGATCTGCTTCCATAAAGACTGCAGCCATGAAAACTTTGGGCAGGTCTGTTCTGTCACATGAGATCATGAGTTGAAATCAATTGGATGGCACACAGCAAAACAACAACAACCACATGCACTCTATATTTGTTGTTGTTATGTGCCGTGGAGTCAGTTCCAACTCAAAATGACCCTGTATAGGGTTTCCGAGGCTGTATATCTTTATGGGAGCAGAAAGCCTCATCTTTCTCCCGCGGAACTGCTGGTAGTTTTGAACTGCTGACCTTGAGGTTAGCAGCCCGATTCGTAACCACTATGCTACCAGAGCTCCTTTAAATATAGATTGTTGTTGTTGTTGTTAAGTGCCATCGAGTCGGTTCCAACCCATAGCGACCCTGTACAGGGTTTCCGAGGGTGTAAATCTTTACGGGAGTAGAAAGCCTCATCTTTCTCCTGCGGAGCGGCTGGTAGTTTCGAACCGCTGACCTTAAGGTTCACAGCCTGATTCGTAACCACTACGCTACCAGAGCTCCTTTAGTGAAGTCAAATTTGTGTTTGTGTTTTTCAGTTTTCCATCCTTTGTGAAACACCTTCATATTTTTCATATTGTTGTTGTTAAGTGCCGTTGAGTCGATTCCAACCCATAGCAATCCTGTATAGGGTTTCCAAGGAACAACTGGTGAGCTTGAACTGTCGACCTTGCAATTCAAATGTTTTTGCAATCTGGTGGATTAACCCACAGCACCACACAAGGACTCCATTTTTCGTATATACACTTGTTATTTTATGAAGTATTAATTAATTTCAAATTAACTTTTAAAAAATGTTAACTTACTTTAGCAGGTAAGTACATTAATTTTAAAAGAAAAATTTGTATGTCTTCAAATTCATTAATTTGATATTCTGCTTATGTTCCCCCCCTAATATTTCATAAAATAAGTATAATTGTTATTGTTGTTAAGTGCTGTTGAGTCGGTTCTGACTCATAGCTACCCTGTGTAGGGTTTCCAAGGAACAGCTGGTGGGTTTGAACTGCTGATCTTGTGGTTCACAGTCCAGTGCTGATCCTACAGCACCACACCAGGAGTCCAAAGTAAGTATAGCATAGGGAAGAAGTGTTCATCCATCACCTGAAATCACATTTATTTCAGTAAAGAGTGGAAAAGCTTTATTAAAATGAATTAATCTGTTAAAATAATTCTTATTGTTTGCATATCTGTTAAAAACATCTCTCCAAGGGAAATATTAATATCACAGCATCCTGGAAATACATTATTTTTCACCATTAATGCACCCATGCAAATAATTTGACCATACACATATAACAGAAAGAAAGGACAAAATTACGTGGAAAAAGTTCTGGCATAGAATGCCTGTGTATATCACGTGATATTTTCAGAAGTGAATTCAGCCTCATTCACATACATTCAATATTCTGGAAATGTTACTTTTGATCATAATTGCATAATAAAGGTATAAGCCATAGTCAAGAAGTCATAGATTGAGTTTGATAGTTGCCAAGTGATTGGAAAATAAGTGATTGAAACTGCATTGATTTCTGGTACATTGATAATTATGTACCATTATTTGGAGTCATCAATTGGAACCCAGAAGCTTGTTCATAAACCACGTGACTATCAATTGGAAGGGTAAACAAAGTGAAGCCTGCACTGGCATAAATGGCACCTAGATTCAATCTGCGTTGACATAATTATCACAGTTGTCTTTCAAGGCTGGCTTTAATTGGAGGAATAAACAAAGCACAACTGATACATGATCACTCTTGGCTCAACAGCTGACAGTGAAAAAAAAAAAAAAACTTTATCAGATCATCTTAAGTGAAACCATTAAGCTATGACAGGTCTGCTTGTTTCGTATCTGATTATGTCTTAATAGCACCAGTGTCTTTGATTGATGATCACGAGTCACCTTAGTCATATGCCTGTGAGTGAATCTGGCTTCATGTACACCTAAAAATTTGAATTTTGCAATTTCTTTACTGGAGCCAGCCAGTTATTGATTATACTGTACATATTTTTTCAGTTTATAAATCTAAGTCTTAGAACCCTGTAGGATCATGTCGGGAATTAAATGGAAGTCCTGCACCACTGACTGTAAAATAAAGTGCTTACAAGACTAGAAAGAACAAGCAACAAAGCCAGCAGCAAGAGAATCTGAAGAGTTGTCCATTCATGAGTGGGGAAAGGGGAAAGAGGATCTGAAGAGTTGTCCATTCATGAATGGGGAAAGGGGAAAGAGGATCTAGAGAAAATGAGTATGTGAAAATGCACACATCCTGGGCTCAAGGCTAAGTGGCTTCTATTTAGAGGAAAATAACTGCAAAATCCAGCTGCAAAAGTTTCAGAAAGAGTGGGATTGTGTGCCTTTCATAATACCCATGATGATGATGATGATGGCCACATCAGTTTGTAAGTCTCAAGAGCTTCTGTAGGCAGCTCTGAAATATTTCATTGTTTGTGAAAAGGGATCAAACTTTGAGGTGTGTCTAGGAGTCTGCGAATGACAGTAAAGACAAGAAGTTAATGACCCATAACGATCCTGTATAGGGTTTCCAAGGAACGACTGGTGAGCTTGAACCCCCGACCTTGTGGTTCAAACCAACTCTGCAGTCTGACGCATTAAACACAGTGCCATACCAGGACTCCTTTTAAAAAGAGGAAGAGCCCCAGTGAGATGGATTGGTACACTAGTGTAACAACTGTGAAGATGGCATAAGACTGTGAAGTGTTTTGTTCTGTTGTTTACAGAGTCTTTGTGAGTGAACACCTAATACAACAACAAATTCCTTTCTTCTTTTAAGAAGTCTCACTTACACTCACTTTAGTGCAAATTTTATATTTATATATTTTAAATTGTTTTATTATGATATAAGACATTTTACCAAGTCAACAATTTAACATGTACAATTCAGTGACATTGATTATGTTTATTATGTTTGTAACTCATCCCTATTTATTTTAAATTACTGTTTCATAACCATTGACACAAACTTAGTGGCCTCTAAGCAAAGACTCCTCTTCACTCCTTCCCCACCCACATTGTTGTTGTGTGCCCTTAAATAGATTCTGACTCACAGACCTACTGTATGACAGAGTAGAACTGCTCATTGGGTTTCCTAGGCTGTAATCTTTACAGGAGCGAACCATCAGGGTTTGTTTCCCATGGAGTGGGTAGGTTCTGACACTGACCTTTTAGTAAGCTGCCGAGAGCTTAACCATTACATCACTAACATTTCTCTGTGTTAACCACTAAGAAACTTTATTCTCTATACATTTGCTTCTGTTATATAAGTGGGAACATACTATTTGTCCTTTTGTGAATGAATCGTTTCTCTCAGCATAATGTCTTTTTAAGAGTCACCCATGTTGTATGACATTTAACATTTCTTTTTGTTTCTGTTCATTTATCTTTATAACAATAATAGTCCACTAATATGTATGTGGAATCTTTTTATTAAATAGACAAAATCACATTATGGTTGCTATTTTGCAGTGTTTCTGTAGGTATGCTTTATCAATCTTTGCATGTAAATAATCATTCTTTTTTCATGATTGAAGGATTCATCTAAAGGATATTGTTAAGAATATTTTAGATTGTTTCCAGTGTTTGATGTTAGAAACAGTACTGCTCTTGAATTAGGTACCAAACTTGTTCTGAGATTATAGACACTTAGAAAAGGTGGTCTTGCCCTCAAGGAGCTTTTGGTTCATTACTGTTTGTTGACTAAATTACTTTTCGGGGACAGTGAAGGACACTGAGTATTGAACAGGGTTTACTTGTTATATTAGCAGGCAATTGTGGATGATGATTTTGAGGAAGAATTGTGGAAGCCTGAATGCTGATAGGTTTACAGTTTTATAATTAGTATTAGCTAAGAAAAAAAAATCTATTTTCAATATTAATAGCAAATTGATATCTTTTAAAAATAATTGAATATCTTATTGTATGTATGGATTTGTGGTTTATAAAAGGAATGGATAAACCTTAGTTTCTGTTGTCTTGGTTATACTGGTAGTCCTATGTAGGTAGCCTTTATAATTAAAATATACAAAGTGTTGTTGAAGGTAATCTATATTTATCCTTTTACTACAATTTCTGATCATATCAGTAACTCTCTGAAGTGTGAAATAATCATGGGCATTTGGTAATGAATTGTGCATTGTTGCTGTTCATTCATGGAATTTGCTCTTTTATTATATTTGATGCTTCACTTAACAACAAATTTTGCTTTCTCTGTGTTTGATATGTTTTTACCAAATTATTCCTGATTGTATCCATTAATCTTTAGTCACATTTGACAAAAATAAATTACTGTGATCTTTTAAAGTTACCAGTAGTAATTAGATTTTTCAGGACATCAAAGTTTTAGGGGAACCACTAGATGTTAAAGGGCTTGTATATAAGTATTTGCACAGCTTTTTGATAAAATAGTATGCCCAAATGCAGTTTTAGTAATGAATAAACAAAGGGAAGAGAAAAAGTCATGAAGTCTCATAATGAACATTTATTTGCATTTTTACTGTATACATTTTCTTGGAAATCAACTTTTACCTACTTCATTTGGGAATATTATTTTATAAACATGATATGAACATTTCCACTCATATCCTCTTGCAAGTCTCTAGGATCAATAGCAATTGTTTTCCTGTTTAATACCTCTATGTTCAGTTCTTGGGCAGAGGCATAACCCTCAAGCCCAGTTGTAGGCACTTTGATCCGAAAGAGGGCCGGACTAAGGAGAATCTGATAACAATGCTCATTCTTTCAGGGTTTAAAAAAAGTGTATCCTTCAGTTCCTTAAATACTTTTATATGAATTTACCTGTACTTATCAAGGACCACACCTAGTAGATTTTTGTTTCAAATCTGATTTATAAAACTTAGCT